CATCCTGATAATTCACCTGCTTCCACCAGCAGGGACCCTGAGAGCTGAGAAGCACATCATTTTCTGCCCTGAGGCTGTGAGATGAAAGATGTACCAGTGTTAATTGTAAATGAAAATCCTCCGCTTGAACTTTCTGGCTGTGAAAGGGAAGGGGAGATGCAAAGAACCTCTCTGAACTTCCCTGTCTTTGGTAATTCTACGAAACACTTTAATGTTGGAAATTAAAAGAAACAAACAGTTTTTATGACTATCTAGCTCCTTTTTTCCCCTCCCTCCACTCTTGATAACAAGGACCCGAGTGACGGACCGTGCCGTTCCCTCACTGATGCCAATTGCAGCCCTTCCCAGGGAAGAGCCCAGCAGCTGATTTCTGGATAAATGGCAGGAAAAAATAAAAAAAGACAACACCTTCTGGGGCAAAGCAGGGCTTCCACTGAAGAGCAGAAAATAAAGGAGCAGGAAAGGCAGAGTGCTGACCACGGGGCTGTGCTGGGAGGGGAAGGAGAGGCTCTACGTACGGAGGCAGAAGGGATTACTCCCTGCTGGGGTTAGCCAGGGTGCCGGGATGAGCTAAATACCCAGACTTTCATCCAGGGCAGGGGCGATCCGTGGGGCTGGACATGTTGCAGGGGGATTTGGGATGGTCCCAAGGAGGCACCCATGGGACACAAGCTGCAGGGTGCCCCGGCACAGGGCCCCACAGGCACCGAGAGCTGCCTGACCTCATGCTCTGCGCTGTGGAGCCGGGGAGAAACGAGAAGGAGCCCGAGCAAAGCGAGCGAATGCAAATGTGTTTCCACTTAGCTGGTCCGCCGAGGCCAAATGATGTAACTCCTGCGAAGCCCTGCAATATGTTGGCAGGAGGAGCCTAGTGACAACTCCAACTGTAAGTTCCTGAGCTAACGAGCAGAAAAGTTGAATAAAAATTAAAAAAAAAAAAAAAAAAAAAAGAGGCTTTTTCTTTGGCTTAACATCATGACCCTCCCCGGGACTGTTCTGAGCAGAGGAACAGCACACTGAAGGAAAAAATCCAGCCCCAAAAGATGCTGGCTCCGCTCCTCTGGGTCTAACGGGGCGAAGCCAAGGGGTCAGCACCCGCTGGGAAACGCGTTTCAGGCTGGCAGAGCCGGGGGCTTTGCTCCATGCCAAAGCAGGTCCCTGCTCCAGGAGCAGCTCTGCTGCCATCCTGTTCTCCAGCCTTTATGGAGTTAACCACAATTATTATTATTAAGGGTGGGTTTTTCTCTCTCTCTCTCTCTCTCTGTTACTAGCAAAGAATGTTTTACTACAGCTCTCCACACAGCCACCAGCCTCCAAATGGACCATGTTACAGTAGAGCTAAATATTGTGTCAGGGACCATGTGTTTCTTGTAAGATGGGCTTGAGCCATGACTCCGTAGGAAATTGTTTATCTCTCTTCCCCCTCTTGCTGCCTTCACCCTCCCATGGGCCGCGTGGACGGCCGGGGAGCTGCGATGGGAACATCCCGGGGATGCTGGAGGATTTTTTTTCTTTGCATGCAACCCGTGCCTGCGGTGAGGAGCGAGCTCCGGGTGGGATGTGGTGTCTGCCTGCCTGCTGGGTGCCACCGCAGCCCCGCCGTCCCCAAAAGGCTCAGGGGTGCCCCGAGGCACTGCCGCAGAGTAGCCAGCACCACTGCAGGCTGGCTCAGCACCACAGCTGCCCGGGGAGCCCTCTGTTAGGGGGTTTGGGAGGAGGTTAGAGGGTTTTTAGCAGCGTGGAGCTGATGCGCAGGTGTGTGTGTTTCAGAGGGAAACGTGGCCACCCTCAAGGTGAAGGCGCAGGTGAAACGCCTTTGATTTGCTGGGATTGCTGATGTCTGCGGGGTGGGTTGTAGGGCCAGCTGATTGCAGGAGTGGAGCAAAATCTCTGAAAATTGCTTTTTTGGCTTAGAGCAGAGCAGCCCCTCTGGGCGCTGTCTGTGCTGTCGGCTGGGCGCTGCTGGCACCGCGGGCAGGGGGAAGGCTTGGTGCCACGCAGGGGGGGCACAGCAAACAGGGGTAACCCCTCCACGGGTCTGGGCCTCATTCCTCCCCTGCACAGCTCTGCAGGACGGATGGCAGCGAAATCCGAGCCCCTCTCATGCCTTCCTCTCGCTATCTGTCCATCTCGACGCCATCCCAAGGCGCAGAAAGGCACTTTTCCTTCTTGCTGTCTCTGCTTTCTCCTGGCCGCTGCTCTGCACAATAGCATAATTGTATATAAACATCTGATTTCTTTTACTTTGCCTCAGTAATAGCTTGTAGCAACCCTTTCCAACATCTATTAATACTGTGCTATATATTAGATCCAGACTTCAGATCCGCAAATGTGACTATCTTCGGAAAGTGGGGAAAGGCTGAACACAGATCAAACGTTCACCCTCTGGTCAATTTTAAGCACAGGATAAATTTAGCAAGGGCTCCTGCTTCTAAACCCCTTGGACCTTTCTCGCCACGAGATGCTGTAGCTGAGGCCCTGCTCAATCAGACTAATGATCTCCCAACAGCAGCAGAGCAGAGCCACAGCAGGTCCAGATCTCTCTTTATGGGGGGAAGACACGAGCACCAAGGATGAGCCAACTGCTGCAACATCTCCCAGTAGCCTGCTGGGGGGGAGCAGCCACTGGGGTGGGTTTCTGATGGGAGAGCTGCTGAGGTGCCAGCTCCTTGCATTTGCTCCTTGTGACACAGGGAGATTCCCAGAGGTGCAATTGCTGCCCCAGTCTTAAAGGGAATAGAAAGGTTTGGGCTCTTTTAGAAATGATTTTCCACTGTGACATTTTTTTTTTCTGAATTATTTTGATGTAGACAAACGTGGGGGGCTGTTCAGTGCAGGTGGCTTGCCCTATCTCTTCCTTACCCATCTGCAGAGGCAAAACCAAAAAGCAGCTAAAATAACGCAAAAATATAGCTAAAAATAAACGCTGTGTGTAATTCCTGTTCCTTCCCACCATAAAAGAGTAGAACTTGGGAGCAATTCTGTAAAACCAGCTCGTGCTCCAGCATAGCTGCCAGGCCTGGCCGTGCTGGCACAAGGAGCTGCGCCCAAGGGCTGTGCCCTGCTGGGGCAAAGGCAGAGCTAGGGGAAGGGGCAGCACTTTCCATTAGGAAATTGTCTTTCTGCGCCCCAGAAGAGAAATCCACACGGGCTATAATAACAAAAAGGCATGTTAACCCCGATCATATTGCCGCGAATGAGAAAAACAGCCGGGGTTAAATCTTCCAGCTGGTTATAATCCCTGGGAAGTGCCCCCCTGCCCTTCCTTGTCGGGACATTGTCAGGGTACGGTTGCAAATTTTAAGGTCATGTTTTTGCCAAGACAATTCATAAACCCGTGCCCTCAGTTATATTCAGATTTTTCTGCCATTTTCCCATGGCATGCACGCGCTGTCAGCAGGCTGGCTGTTGTACTAGGGCTGCTACAAGGCAGCGGTGACTGCTTTGGCCATCCCATGGCTTCTGCAGAGTGATCTAGCAGAAGACACTTAATGAAAAAAGGACACTGAAGAATTTGGCTCGGAGAGAAAAACTTCGTCTGCAGAAGCTGCTGGGGCTTTCTGGTAGGTTTTCATGCCTCCCAGGGCTGCTAAAAGCGGTCCAGTTCTTCCTTCTCCTCAGCAGAAATAGCACTTTAGTGATTTCCTTCATTCTGCATTGCTTGGTGCTGGCCACTGGTCTGAACTGGGCTGGCTGAAGGAGAGCGAACACAATTTTTTCTGCTCCTGAAGGTTGGGATCATTAAAAAGCCCAAACTGTGCCATGGACAGGGCCAGCCCTTCAGATGATCGCCTGCTTTACCAGCAGCCTGTGCCAGAATTTATTGGGCCGCAGCTGGGAATCTTTCTCTTTGATCCATCTCTGCTATTAAACAGCTTCTGATAAAGCCGCCAGGCTCACCTCTAGGAGGGGAAGCCGAACAACCTAAATCTTGGAGCTGAGCAGCAGTGGGGAGCTGATCTTAAAACTGCATCTTCTCACCAGCTTCAAAAGCAAAGGAGCTCCTTTTATTGCACGGCGCTGCGCTCCAGGAATGATTAAAGGGCCGTAAACGTGCACCTTTTTCATCCCAAACCTGTCTGCTGACAGGGAGCCAAGTACAACAAATCCAGTCAAAAGCAGCATCCCTATCACGGGGCTAATTGTCGTTGCCTTGTTTCCTGAACAAGAAGAGCTGCAAGGTAAATAGAAGCCTGAAAAGAAAAATAGAGCCTGGAGTTACATGCACACCCCCATACAGAAATAACCCCCCGAAAGAGAACTGAAAAGCCATCGAGGAGACAGCCTCCAAGCTACAGACACAAAGTGCCGGGTGGAGGATAACTGGCTGGTGAGCTCTGGGAAATAATGCCCTAAAATCCTTCTGAGCCCATTCATCACCATGGCTTCAGTGATCATCTCGGCAATAAATTCCCTTATCATCCTATTGGAATTTGAGTTTAATGACCTGCCTGTTATTTCAGAGGGAGATGGACTGTAACCGGTGGGTAATTGGTAGGAAAAATTGCCAGTTAGAGCAAAGATCTGATACCATCGGAGCAGTTACACCACGAGAGAGGGAGATTAGGGAGCTCTGCTTACCACAAGGGGCTTATTCACCCTGAATAAATTCATTAGCTGCCCAGAGCCATCCCCCTACACCCTCATTCCCCCCTCAGTGGCACCTTCCCGTCAGCACTACCCCTGATTTTCCCAGTGACCCTGGAATGAACAGCTCAGCAGAAGCTGTTATCAGTGCAGAGATGATGATAGCAATGATTAAACAGCCCTTTCCAAGCTCCTATTAGCTTATGGATGTTTTTGGAGGTTTTCCTAGGAAAGACCAGAATTACTGTAATTTCTTAACCGTTTAAATGATTCAGGAAGGTTCTGCAAACACCTCTGTCCCGCAACATTTTTTGCAAGAAACCTCCCAAACCGTGGCTGCCGTAGGATCTGTGTCTGGTTCTCTGCTGGAGAGACATGATGGGTTTATTACCTTTTCTCCTTGCCACCTGCAGGACGGCTTCCAGTGCGCTGTGTGTGAATTCCAGAGCCCACGTTTGCAGGGCAGCCTGCAGCCTCGACCAAAAATAGGACAACTGGCTTCTCGGGAGCGTGTCAGGGGAGAGCTCGAAGCGAGTCCAGAGGTAAAGTCTTGGCTCTGTTGCAAGGAATGATAGCTTTGCTGGGGCTCGATGGGTCTGTGCCTTCCTCAAAAGTTACCTTCCCCTTCCCTGCTGACGGGACCGGCACCGGGGTCATGTTTTGGTGAGCACACCTGCTTTTTAAATTAGCTCCCTGGAGCATTCGCAAAAACAAAGCTGAAAGGCATGGCCACAGGACTGGGTTTGCTACAGAAATACCAGCACGTATTCATAATAAAACATCTGTACTTTTTGCCCAGCTCTGGCTGTAACTTCCCGTCATGTCCTGTACCTTTCTGGGAAGAAAGAATGGGTGATGGTGGTGGGAAAATTGCTCCACCGAGCCAAAGGGGATTTTGCAATCACTTTCAACGGAGCCAGGGCTGCTTTTAACCCTACATATTCCCCATGTCTCTGTAAAACCCTATGGGCTCTCCATCACTGCGGGCAGTGATGGAGGAGATGAAAAGCTCCTTTTTTTTATGAATGTACACTCTGGAGGGCACGCAGGTGGTGGAGATGGCCCTGGTTTGGGGGCAGGAAACTGGCTCACTGCACGGCGCAGGTAAGGAGCTCTTGCGGTGCCTGTCCCTGAACCACAAACCTGGAGGTTGGATTTCTTCCCTGCATAAAGAGCTGTTAACTGCCACGCCAGGAATCAAGCCTGTGAATAATCCCAGCTTGTTGCACTCTCGGTGCATGGGAGTCTTCTCGTGCAAAAAGAGCATCAGCAGAACGAACGGAGTGCCGCCGTAGTGGCCGCATTCCCACATGCTCCTCTTGGAAGCCAAGATATCATGTAGGGGTGGTTTTGAAAACGCTTTAAGCGATTTAATCCATGGCCAGAGCCCTTCCAGCCGCTGGTTGGCCCGGGAAGGTGTTTCTTCTCTGTGCCCAGGGGTGGCCGAGGTGACCTCCAGCCGCTGCCCCCTGGGCTGCGGTGCTGTGCCCAGGCAGTGTGTTTGCTGCTGGCTGTGAAGGCCACGCACAGGAATGAAAGCCTTGGCGATGGCCTGAACCAAGCTTCAGTTTCTTCCTGCCTCATTGAAAGGCATGTTGTTTACCGCAGGCAAATTGGAGATGAACATGCAGCAAGAGCCCAGAGAGTTCATAAAAACAAAACAAAACAACAAAATAATCGCAATACAATATTCCTGCAGGAAAGGTTTTCTTATCTTGATTTTTTTTCCCCCCTTTCTCTGTCTCTTTTTCCCCCCATCTTGGACTAATCACTCCCAGACCGGGAACCTTCAAACAGATTTGTTTGGAGACTTGGCATGGGCTCATGGTGGCTGGAAACCTTCTCGCTGTTCCTACGAAAAACAGAGCCTGGTTGGAGGGGAAGGAGAGCTCCAGCGCTGGAGTCAGACCCAAGCAGCATACGTTGCAAATGAGCTGGGAAGTGGAAAACTGCCTGAAACATCTCTGGCCCCTTCCCCGCTCATCTACAGCACAACTGCTTTCCCTTTGCCGTGTCGAGGCTGAGCTGCAAATGTTGCAAGGCCGAACCCAGCAGCCTCCTGCGGTTTGTTCTTTGCATGTTCGCAAGGAGGCTTCCAAAATACGTTTGTACACTGTTGGTTTTGCCTCCAACAGCCCTGGGCAGCGCCATGCAGGTCTGCAGGGATGCCTGGAGGCTCCTCCACACCAAAAAACATTTGCAGTCCCTCTAACACTGCCCCTGACCCTGTCGCTGTTCCTTGTGTTAATTCACCCAGGCGTGATGTGGCTGGAAAATGGGGTGTAAAAGGGTGGGCTTCTCAGGATTTACAGCAGAAAGGGGTTGATGGGCTCCTGAAAGCTAGTGAGGAACATCCCCCAGCGCTGCTGCAGTCCAGAGCAGCTCGGCAGCCTCAGCCCTGGGGCTCTGTTTTGAGCTGAGGGTTGCGCTGGTAGAAACTGAGGATTTACAGAGAATCACAGAATTATAGCTCATCTGGTCCAACCATCACCCTACTACCAATGTCACCCACTGAACCACGTCCCCAAGCACCAGCTTGGTTGGAAACCTCAGCCACAAAGAGTGGAAATTCCCCCCAAAATGTTCCATCCAGAGGGGCTGTCCCCCTGAGAGCAGGCAGGGCTGATGCCTTATAGGAAATACGGTGCCCATAGGAGTCTGTGAGTCACCTCGGTGGTGAACACACGCTCATAAATCTGGCTAACGAGTGCATCAGGACGTATACCCAGATCCACCTTTCTTTTGAATCTTTCCCTTTACCTTTTCACCCCTGAAGACATCTAAGCTGCTAACACTCTGAGGAGGATGACACAGCAAAAAAAAAAATAAAAAAAAATCTTTTAGCAAGAAACAGAGAAATGAGATTTGCATATGTTTTTCTGGGAAAAATATCAAGTTTTTTTTGTTAGAAACTGTGTTGGAAACCAGCTTGTAAAACGTGGAGCCTGACTCAAACACTGATTTGTCATGGGACCATCACCTGTGCCCACTGTTAACGGGGACTCCTCAGCTCTCTGCCCAGGAGGAAAGATCGCTGTTAATATCTTAGTGACAGGTTGTATTTGGGGAAGAGCAAATCCTGGGCTGGGATGTGGCTGGAGAAGCTTTCCCTGCATTTAGTGGCCAGTGAGGAAATTTTGTGGAACGCAGCATTGCTGCGGAGCCGTTCCCAAGGGGTTGTGATCCCAATGATCAATGACCTTCAGAAAGCTCGGGGGTTCAGCTTGGTGAGGGGGAATACTGCCGGTGTCTATCCCAGCTCTGCAAACCCAATTTTCCGCTTGCGTGCCTGATTATAAATCAGCGGTAAATGTGCTTATGCTGACACGCCAGCATTGCCCTGGATGCCGTTCCGTAGGCACACGCTCCTTCGGCCCCAGGTGACTCAATCTGATGAAGAAACCCCGGGGTTTTCTTCGCTTTGGCAGGTGTTGGTGGGCAATCCTCTTCGATTAACGCCGCGCTGCTTTTTGGCCGGAGATGCTCGGACCGACTGCCGAGGCAAAGAGAGATGCCAGCAGAGCCTGCGACCCAGCCGAGACCCAGCCAGTGGGAATCCTGTCTGCAGAGCTCCTCGAGTCTGTGAAACTGGGTTAGGAATCTCTTAGGAGGTTTTTGATTAATGTAAATTCCTTTTTTTTTTTTTTTTTTTTTTTTTTTCTTCAGCAAACCAAAACTTGGGTTTATATTCATGTCCCCTAGAGGCTTATTCAGTCTGAGGTTTCCTTGCTGAGAAGCATGCACACAGCTCTTCTTTTTGCTTCCATTTAAGCAGGACAGAGCATCCCACATCCTATCCTTCTGAGGAGGCCGAGGCCTCATCCCACGAGCCAGAGCCACCAGCACGCAGCGCAAGCCACAAGAGGCGCAAGGCAAGCACTCCAGGCAAACTGCAGGAAAGGAGTCATTTGGAAACTGGGGCAAAAGTTGAAACAGGATTTAATTTTATCTGAATTGATTCATCTGTCCCTAATTAGTAATAGCTTCCTAATGCATGACGTAAGAATATGCAGAGGTTTTTTTTTTTTTTTTTAATGAATAACTTGGCTAGGATGAAATATGGCCATTCTCAGATTGTCTCGGATAGTTCTTTTTATATGCCAATAGAGATTTGTGTAGTCTAAGATGAAAAATACAAGAGATCCCACCGTCACAGAGGCTGAAGACTAAAATTCTGGATCCTGTCTTGTTCCCAGCTTACTGTAGGAAAAAAAAAAAAAAAATAATTTTGCATTTGCCCTGTTTTAATACCTGTGTTTGCTCTTACTGAGCGAGGACCCCCAGGCTCCCAGAACAGTGCATGATGCTGTGCAGAGGGATAGAGCCCAAAACCTGCCCCGTACACCCACGTGCGGGGCTGTGATTGTTCTGAAAGCCCAAAGTCCATCTGGCAAAAAACGGTCGTGTCTGATGACATTGCAACAGAATAAATGAAGCAACCAGTTAAATTAAAAATCCACATTGTTCAGTTTCTCACGGGAACAATGTGAAATTCCTGATTTTTCTGTTTTTAGGATGAAAACTCTACCTCCCTCACCTTATTCTCTCTTTCTGTCCCTCATTTCCTCTCCCCTTTGCTCCAGGGACTGGAAGAGCTGGGAAGCTCCCCGGGGGGCAGGGATGCAGGAGGTGGAGCGATGCTGTGGGCTGTATTTTAGGGCAAAAGCAGGACCACGAGCAGCAGTAGGAGGAGGCTGCCTACCAGCTCTGATGCTGGATAATCTCTGTCTCCCAAGCCCTCCCATGGGGCTGGCCATGAGCTAATCCCTCTCACCTCATCACGCACCGGCTTCCCCTCATCCATATCATTCCTTTGTTCCTAGTCATACCTCCTTGTACCATCCAGCATATTTCATCTCAAGCCTTTGTGTCCACACCCTTGAAACCTTTCCAGGCTGCTATCATGTCCACTTCTCTAACTCACCTCTCCAAGCCAAGCTATACATCCAGGCTCTAATCCTACCCCATAAATCAACCCCGCTGGGGCCCTGACCAGTTTCGGAGATTTCCACGAGCTGTGCAACTCCTTCACTTCTCCTCTCCCAACATCAATAAAAGTCCGGAGGTTTACAGCAGGGCGATGGGGAAATGGGTTTCTGGGCTTGTTTTATAAGCGGGGTGGAAGACGGAGCGGGGGGACGCTCCGCACCGTCCCCGCCTGGTAAAGAACCGGGGCAGGACACGTTGAGCAGATGCTGGTTCTGGACTGCAGATGAGGGCTGAGTTACTGCGTTCACAGCACATCTTTGATACACGTCCAGCTTTTATCAGATGGTTCCACTCAAGGTTTGGCACAGCTGATGCGAGGGGAAGGCCAGGAAAGCAATCGAGCGGCGTGAGCAGCTCAAGCAGCCCCGCGCAGCAGAAGGGCCCCGGCTTGGGGTGGGGGCTGTCACCGTCCCCCCACCTCCTGGGCTGAACCAGGGGCTTCCCCCTCTGCTCCCACTCTTCCAGCACCTACACGGCTTTAACATTTGCCCCTGTGTGGGAGGTTGCTGATGTGTTTATGGTGTTCGCAGCTCCTGGCACCCCGCTCCCCCCGCCACATCACGCCGTGCCACAAGCAGCTCGGCCACGCAGCGCAGCTGAAGGTTGGAGTATCTGGGAGGACTGAGAGCATTTGAGCAAGTTTCTGGAGTTAAAAGACTTGTCCTCGGGTTTTGGCTTCGGATGACCTGCGCTCCTAATGCACTCTTCACTTAATTCTCCCCTGCCAGTGCAAACGCTCTTATTTATGAGGTTGGTAATCACTTTCTATCAACACGCTCTGGAAATCTGCTCCTTCTGCAAAGCATTCCTTCAAGTAAATCCTTCCCCATGAATATTCCCAGCCCAAGCCGAGTCCAAGGCCTGCTCAGGGCATACGAGAGGGCTTTCAAAGGACTCCCACCGAGCGCGGTTGGCTCAGACCCAAGCGCACACATCCACGCCCATAGAGCTCTGTTACAAGTGGCCCCACGCTCACAAGAAGGAAACCAAACCTTCCCCAAAGTCCTTAGAGTTGTTTTGCCATCCTTTTCCTGCACACAAGCCGTGGGCTTTTACCTCTCAGGAGGAACCCCAGGCAGCACACATAGGAAGGCCCGTGCTAATTTAAAATCCTCCCTGAACACCGAGTTTGGTGTCTTTTTTCTTCCTTAAATTAAAAGCCAGAAAAAATATCTAGAAATGTCTGTGCAGAAGAATCAATTGCATCACAAAGTAACGTTCTGGGCCACGAAAAGAGCCTGTGTTTTCAGCCTTGACAGTTTACCCATCCCCATTTTGGGAGGCAACACAGATAGGTTTTCCATTTGAAACATCCCAGGGGCCATGCAGCTCATGCTGAGCCCTCAGAAGTCAACGAGCCACTTTCCACAGCAGTGGTCCCAGCAATAATTAGGACTTTTATTTTATTTTATTATTCATTTATTTATTTATGAGCTGCCAGGCTGGCACTTGGTTTAAGCCATAGGAAAGCGGAGGCCCAGGGCACCCATCAGGGCAGCACCAACAAACACAAGGCTGCACGTCTTTAAATCTTTTGATTTCTTTTAGATTTCTGCTCCTTATCTCTCAGCCCCTTCATGGGCCAACTGGAGCTCTTTATCGGTGCCATTTACTCAACTGTCAAGTGGTTTTTTTTATCCTAAAGCTCTGCAGTGGGGAAATAGGAACCTGCAATGAACTTGCTTTAAATTGAAACAGATATTTAACTAGAATAAACCAGTGGCCGGACTGAATAAACACTGCAGGCACTTTAGAAAGAATGTTAAGTTGACATAAGATCTGCTGGGTGAATTCAAGAAACGGGAGATTTTATGCTGAAGTCATAAATCTGCCGGGTGAAAAGGGCGATAGTGCTGAGCTCTGCATCTTGCTGCCTCTCCAGGAGGGACGAGGGCAGGATGTTTGCTGCCGCAGCCTGCGGAGCTGTTGGTACGGGCTGCAGGCTTCCTTCCCAGGGCAGCTGCTGCGAGCTGTGGGCTTCGTCTCCGCTGCTGCCTTCTGGCTCCCTGCAGGACAGGAGAGGGATGTGTCTCCCCGGGGCTTGGCTCTCCGGCCCTTCCAAGCAGTCTTTTTTTCCAGCAGCTGGCCAAAGCATGTCCCCTCCAGGCTCCCAGGTGTGAATTGCCCATGGGATGAGCTCTGCATGGGGCAGCTGGTGGTCCCCACAACTCCGAGAGCACGCTCCAAGGCACTGGGCAGTGTTTGGCCCCACGCTGGGCAGAGCAAAGTTGTGCACAGCATCAAAATCCATTTAATATCCTCGCGATGGGGTGTGCTCCTACCGTAGGGCTGGTGTCAGTCCGGCCGAGCAGCCTGCTGGGACTCAATTTGTTACAGCAGCAGCTGGTCACCAAAAACAGGTTGGGAAGCAGCTTTTATTTTTTTTTATTTTTTATTTAAAGAAAGCTGCTTTTATTAAAGACAGGCTTCCAAAACCTGGGTATCAGAGGAGACCACGGCACCAATCTGCCCACGACGACTTCCCTAGGCTGGCAGCACCTCTGGCTTTGCTTGGCCATGGATGGCTTGGGGAGAGCATCCAAATCCCTGCCAAAGCTCCTGCTTTCGTGATCCCAGCGCCGTGTGTCTGGGCGCAGGGCTGATCCCAGCAGAACTCATGCCACGTCCCTCTGTTTCTGCAGGATGGACTGAGCAGTGGTCCAGGGGGTGAGAGCTTGCCCCAAGTCAGCCCGAGCTAAAGAGTCGCAGATGTTTAATACTTCTGCTCCCTGCTCCAAGGAGAGGAGCTGCAGAGAATACAGCAATATTTTTTCAATACATTCCATATGTTTCCTCCATAAGTCAAGATTAAAAAGCGGTGCTGGTCCAAATCAGAATAAGCCTGCAGGCTGTTCTGCTGCTTTTGGAGGAAGAAGGAGCCTCATCCTGATTTGCCCTGCAGCAGAGAACGGCTCTGACCTGACTTGAGAATATGTTTCCAGAGGGACAAGTGGAGTTGTCATTCATGCTGTCCCTGCTCTCAGTGCTGCTACAGCTGTTACACGAAGCACTTGTCAGCCCTGATCCCACACCGAATTTTGGTACCTGACTTCTCACGGGATAAAGGAGCTGGCACGAGGGCAGGAAAGAGAGAGCACCCCCAGTCTCCCAGGCAGAGTAGAGCCATGGTCTCTTCTGACATCTACTTTTTGGAAGCCTGTTTTTAATAAATGAAGTTTTCTTTAAAAAAAAAAATAAATCAGTGGCCACCTCAAGCCTCTGCTGCCCTCAGCTCATATGGCCGAGGTCCTGCAGCAGCTGCAGACACAACAGGGTGAAGCCCATGATCACCTCCCCCTTGCCCAGCTCTGGCCACACTCGGCCAAACACGAGTGCAAACGTGGCACTGTGAGCCCTTGGCCATCATGCGCCCGTGAGGGGCCGCAAATTACTTGTTTCTGTTTCCTTATTTTCCTTTTTCTGATCTTCTGACCCCAGCAGCAGTGTTTCAGCCCTGCTGCCATTGCCACTCTGCTTGCTGAGGTCCAAATCCTGCAAATGCCATCACCGAGGATGGCAGGTCCGGAGGGAGGAGGGAAGCCCAGCAGCCTCAAGGGAAGGGGTTTGCTCTCTCCTGAAGGGCACACTCCTCGGTATAATTGTGCCAGCCAAATGTGCACAGAAGTCCTTGGTAATTGCTATGGTAATCATTTCACATGTGTGGGATTTTTTAGGCTAAAGCGTAATTACAGCTAATTGCTGTTTGATTTTGTTCCTGTTTGTATAGCCATTAAAGGAATCATTGAAATGTCTTTGCTAAAAGACTTTCCTCTTTCTTCTCCTCTTTTTCTAAAATCATCCTGGAAAAAAAAGAAAAAAAAAGAAAAAAGAGATCATGTTGCAACACTCAGAGTTCATGAATGGCCATTAGCTGGCCAAAGCTCTCACAACAAAGAGCCACGTTAAGCCCGCAAGAGCCTGATGTTTTCCCAGTGTTGGGAACTGACAGTACTTGAATTTGCAGAACTAATGAGAATTTGCAAAGATCTTGGCTGTTGGTTAATGAAACCCTTCAGGGCAAAAGGCTGAGTCTGAATTTATGTGGGGAGATGGGAGGATCTGAGCTGCTTGCTGCAAGCACAAGCAAAGGTGCTTTCAGCCAGTTGTTTGGTGGCAGGGCAAGTTGCATTTCTGCTGTGTGCTCCCCGTGAGAAGCTGGGAAGGAGAACACTGCCCATTAAACCCCTCTGATGTCCCTTGTTTTCAGAAGGAGACAGCATTTTGGAGTCTTATTTCCAGATGCCCAACCGGTCCCTGCACAAGTAACCAATTCTATTTTTTTTCCCTTTCTCTCTCCTTACCCTGCCTTGATTTTACATTCTGCCCATCTGCTGCAGCCTGTGGAGGGAGAACTGAGGCTGGTGGGGCTCCGTGCAGGTCCAGGGATTCACTGGGAGCTTCTCCTGGCATAGCTGGTGCCTTTATCACGCCTGATTATTTTTTCCCAGCCCTGTTTTTTAATACAGTTGTCCCATGGCACAACTCAAAGAGAATTAAACATCCCTTCTGCTCCAAATGTTGGAAGTCATCATGTCCTGATGGCCTGCAGTGAGGCCAGATGACTCCCGTATTGATCCATTAACCAGATACGCAAGCCTTTGAGCCATCCTTGAGGATGGCTATTGCAAGTTTGATTTTTTTTTTTTTTAACAGGAAAATTGCCTTTATGCTAGGGAGCAGATGAGCCTGGAGAGAAGCAATGGGAAAAGCTAGTTCTCCTGGGAGATTCCCTCATTGGAAATTTTGTCTTTCCCCAGGCAGCAGCCAGCAGCTCCCGGTGGGTGCCTGCCCTTCCTCAGCCTGGTGGCAGACACAGGATGGGCCACGTTTGTGCCCTGGGACTGCTGCAGGAGGGGACTTTCATGATGCTTTTGCACGCCCCCTGGATGTGGTGCCAGGGGAACGTGGGACCAGGCGCTCCCACCTCACCAAAAAGCAACGTTCCTCCAGAGGGAGGGGAGGCAGCGGCTCACGGAGGCTGTAATCTTCTCATTCCTGAGCGTTGTATCCTTCGGAGGGGACCGAGGCCACATGAAAACTCCGTCTTGCCTGTGGTTAGCCACGAGCGACTGCTCCAGCCCCTTGTCAGACACACGCAGGAGTCAGAGCAGGGAACGATCACAGAAAATGCAGGATTATGTTGCTATGGGAGGGGGTGGAAAGAGCAGGCCGGTGCCATCACAGCCCTTTGCCTTGGAAAACGGGGAGCTTGTTTGCTTTATTTTTTTTTTTTTTTCATTTTACGCTCTTTCTGTTTGGCTTCTGCCTCTGCTCCGGGAAGCCAAATTAGCTCATGGTCTGAGGCTCCAGAGCTGAACATAAGCAGAAGCAAGCTGACATTGGCTTGAAATAGAAGCAGAAATAGAGCTGTTTACCATCCTGTTTCTCTTTGACACTCTGAAGGAGCAGGAAACTCTTTCAGGGCATGGGCACTCACACGGCAGCCACCAAAAGCACATCCCTTACCCCCCCTGCTTCCCACGTGGTGGGTGCTTTATGGCTGCTGCTTGTACCCACTGCAAAGGTTTGGGATTTGCACGTCCCCAGCTGTGAACTGGGGGGAGTTTTAGTGCAAAATAGCCTGGGAAACTTGAAAATTCATCTGATTCTTTGCCCAAACACCTGTGGGTGCTTCCCTTGACCAGAAACCAGGAGCCCAAATCTCAATGCCTCCCAGCCCGGACGCCCTCACCGATGCACAATTTGCTCAGGGAATACGAAACAAAGATGGAAAAACAGTTCCCCAGCTGGCTGCCTCTGCCTCATTACCATCCCTTCCTGCTGGTGGCTCTATCTGGAAGCTGCTGCCCCTCTCAGACTGCAGAGTATTTTTAACCAGGACGGTAATGATACGGTGGCAGATCCTCCCTGCAATTCTGTACAGCCTCCGAGTTTGGGGGATGATTTCAGCCATGGTGCTTGCACGCTAAATAGCAGGCAGGAGAAGAATGAGCTCTTGATTAAAATGTGTCTAGACAGCCTTCTGCATTTTTGAGTCCTAATTTAAAGGACGTAGGTAAGAAGGGATTTACATCATTTCCAAAACCCGTTCTGCTGTTTCTGATGGTTGTAGGACACTTGTCATAACCAGCTCTCTCTTTTTTTTTTTTTTTTTTTTTTTTTTTTTCTGCAGTCTCAGGACATTTGGTGTCCCTAGCCCTGGACATACGTGGCTGTGGAAGAGCAGGGGCTTCCTTTTCTGTAATGAGGGGAAGTTGTCATCCTTAATGACCCAAAGCAAATGAGACCAGTAAAGGTTGAAGTGTGGGGTGAAGAGGGAAGTGAGACAAAACTGATACTAAGTGGGATATTCTGGGCCATTTCATGACTTTTGAAGGCTTGGGGTGGCTATGTCTATAGAGAAGATTCATGGCTTTGTGTCATTTAATATTCCCACTCCTGAGTCCGGGATCCAGCATCCAGCAAAGCCTCTGGAAGGAGAGGCTGTGTGCAGGAGTGACTGCCCCAGGGGACTGGATATGGCAACGAAGCCTTTCCATTTGGCGACCAGCTTGTTCCAGTCCCAGCCCTACTGGCAGTGTCCTGAGGTTCCAGCACATTTGCTGCAGGCTGTGAGCTGCCACCAGCAGGACGCGTTTTCCAGCAGCACCAGCAGGCTGAAACCAAGAGCAATTTACTCTGCCTGTAGGAAATCCATCAGGATCCTAATCAGCCACGTCCCAGGTAGCTGTTAACACCCCCGTCACAGCACAAAGCCCCTGGATCAGCGGAGGCACTGGGTGCACATTTACTCCACTGCAATTACCGCTGGCACTCAGCTGGGTTTGGAAATCAAGTTCCCCAACAGCCCTATCAGGAAAACTTGAGTACACCAAAAGTTGAGCCTGCAGCTTCCAGCCACCAAGGCAGGTCTGACAACCTGCTCGAGTGTTTTTAGCACTTGTACCACTCAGCCTCGTGTTTGGTCACAAGGACTCGTGGTGGTGGAAACTCACTGTTAGACGCAGCTTGATTGAAGGACTGCACAGCCCCTGGCCTCTTGAATGCAGACACAGCCAGCAGCCAGGGTTAATTTTGTTGGGAAAAAGGAATTGAAACTCCTCAGACTCAACTAAGAACAAAAAAGGGACGTTCAGGTGTATTTTGCAGAGATCTAGAGCAAACAGGTTGTGGACTGTTTGGGCACCAAATTGCTTCTGCCAAGATCCATTTGTCCTGCAGAAGGACCTGACTCCGCGAGGTGCTGCTGCTGGGCAGGGCAGCATGCTGAGCGCTGCAGAAAGCAGCTTTCCCAGCAACTGGGGCTCTCTGCTCTGGGAACTGAACGAAGGAAGGGAGAAAATTAAGTTTAAATGAACTCCTAATAGGGCCTTAAGGAGAAAATCAGAGGATCTTTTTTGGTCCTGGCAGAGGACCTGATTTGCGATCGCTGCCATGACCAGCAGTATTAAAAAGATGACAGGATAAGAAAAATGGAGAGTTCTGTACCTTTTCACATTCTCCATCCTGTTACCCTTAATGGCTCTTTCTCCTTAAGAGGGACTTCATCCTATGAGTATGTCACCGGGACCTGGATGAGGATGGCATTGCACATCTGGAATAATGCTTTATGACAGCCCTGTGGAGGTGGGGGGACTTAATGAGAAACACAAGCTTGCAAAAGGTGGGTGGGAAAATGGGTTAGAGATACAGCAAAGTGCTTTGCATCCAGATCGCAGGAACATCTACCGAGTCAGTGTGCACTGATTTTTGAGCTAGGGGTGTTGTTGACTCCTTAATGACTTCTCCATCCATGGCCCATTAGGAGGTTGGATGTACTTAAGATGTGAGTCACTATTCTGACCCTTACAAGGCAGAAGAACCCAGGGGAAAGCGTGAGCTGGGTCCTTATTATGTCTGCAGATGACTAACACCAGGAGCTTTCCAGCTGTGTCATCACAAGGGTATCATTGAAAACCATTACCAAAGCCCTCCCAGTCTGTGCCACGGGGCGAGGTTTATTTTTGGATCTGGGTCTCACTTTCGAGGGCCACAATCCCTGCTCCCATCAGTACCCTAAGCCTCTTCCAGCTCGGGACTCCCTTGTTCTAGGATGGGATGGGAGCTCATTTTGCAGGCAGACGAGGCTTCCCACAGCTATTGTCCCGTGGCTGTCTGCATATTTCTGCCCTTCACTGTCCCTGCTCCCAGCGAGCATCTGATCTGAAGCTCTGTCATCCGAAAGCACACAAATTAAACCCTGAACTAAATAAAGAGAGACCCCCTCCCAACCTTTACTGAAATACTCTTTAAAAACAAATCCTTATATATTCTAAACTCAAAACCATCTGGGTTTCCAAGCCTCAGGAAATTACAACTCCCATTCTGGAAATAAAATACATGTTTGTCCATATATCACATTAATTAAAACCCATAATATGGAAAGGGGCCGGTAAAATGCTTTCCTGATGGCTGGCAGATTTGCATAGCAATTTCTCATATTACCCATTGCAAACATTACTATTATTATTATTATTTAAAGGGTCATATTTTCCTTCATGTCAGCCGAGTGTAGAAAGATAATGTGTTCTTTGGTGATCGGGAGGGGAAGGTTCCTGGTCTCAGAGTGACCTGATTGTTATTTCTGTGCATTGCCTTGCACATGAGGCGTGTCCCGAAGCCTCGCAGCCAGGCTGACTTGCTGGTTGTAGCGTGTGATTTTAGCAAGGAAGAGATTTCACACTGAATGATGACACTGGTAATTGAGAAAAACAAGCTCTGGCAGAATGAAGAAGACAGCAGATCTGTTTTCCAGCCTGCTACTGGGAGGTTGTGGCTGTGTCCCTCACTTCTGTCCCAAGGACCATTTCCCACCTGCAGTGGGTGGGGAAAGCCCACGAGGGCTGGAGTCTGCTCCATCCCTGCTCCTCCGAGCAAAGCCCTGAGCCCTGCTCCTGGCCCGTGAGCAGGACAGTAGGAAATGCCACATCAGAAGCATTCCAGCTACTGGGGAAAATGATTTGGGGACTGGGAAAACTGCAGACTTCAGTTGTTCTTCGTGGCTTCTGCATTTTTTCCTAGTGAGGTACAGCGCACGGAAAACTGTCGTACACGATGTGGTCAGCGTTTTTACCATAAACAGAGCAGTTGCACATTGTTAAATTATTATTAGCTTAGCTACCAGTGGGAGGGTTGTCTTTGCCCCCTCCAGGACCAAACCAAACATCCACTGGTTGCACAAGCTCCTAGCCAGCCCAACACCCTTACAACGTGCCCGGTCTCACATCTCCCCAGCCACCGACCCTTCCTCCCCCCCAGCTCGAGATGAAGTCTGAGAAGAAATCATTTGCAAAGAGATGAACTTGTGGATTCTGAGCAGAGTCCAAAATCTTTCAGACTTCAACATGAGCCTTCATTCACCACTTGTGTCAGCCCGTCCTAAGCTGAAGAGCTCCCTGCCAAAGGAAATCTGGACCCAAAGTTTGAATTCCAAACTCCGAAGCTGGCAATAT